TTCTATCCTCGGCCCCAATAGGCCATCCGGCACCAACCATCAATCTCTCCAAGCATTTGGTGTGGCGTCGTGAAAGGGGAGGGGCGGTCTCAACCATCATTCCTCCATTGAGAAATGGAAATTCAAATACCAGTCAAATCCACACCGATCGCTGCATCACGGAACAAGTCATCGTCGACCCATCCAGTTCCATATACACACGGCATCCTGGATAAATGCTCGGTGAGTACAGAAGTCAGTGCGTTACGTTAGGTACAAGACTCTCTAACCAGGCGTCTTTCCGTAATCGACCTCTCTTACGCCGTAATTCTTTGTTTGTATATTTCTCGTCGACCCCTGCTCGCGAGTCAAGACGGCGGATCCGGCACCGGGCAGCTGCAATAGCTCTCGGGAAGGGGTCCCGATCTTTAGGTCTAGGTAGCGACCAAGTTGGGGGCAACGAAAAGAAGCTTTTTGCTCTTTCCAGTGGAATCCTTTAATCAACTCCTTTCGGCAGACTCCGTCGCGTACTGAGAGCCGGGAACAACACCGAATGCCATTGTGCGATTCTCATAGACATTGACCTGAATCAAGCAAGCAGTTGACGGCTCGACACTCCTTACTGTCAACGAGACATAGGTCACGGGAGCTAAGTCATCTTTCTCATCGGAGCTTTCGGTTTTCGGTTTTCCACAGGCCACACCCTGGACTCGGCATCTTGTCAATTCTAGGTTGAATAATGTCATTATTATATGACAGTTCTCATTCCTTCTTTGATGGGCGATAAGCATTACGTGCATAGAATTCCAAGGGCATTAGCAAATTTCCCGGCACCTGCGAGCATCCCAGGAGGCTTGGAGTACCAAAGATGATTAAGACGACGAGCAAAATAAGTGCAAGGAAGGCGCACGTTCCAGCCAGTTCAACGGCAGGCAGCTTCATCGATCCCGTGGATGGGCAATATCAATCTGACACGCGACGCGACAAGTAATCTCTAGGCTGTTGCCAATTATCTAGAGTCATTGGAGTCTAGTCTCCGGGCTCTAGAGTCTAGACAAGAAAGGAGGTTTGGTCATTTCATTGATTCAATCGTTTCAACCGTTCCGGTCGAGAGTCGAGCGTTGTCCAATGGAAAATGAGGCATGGCAAGACTGGGTTAGTATCAAGGTGCTGACCAAGAAAACGGGAAGCAAGCAGTGAAAGAAGAAGCGACGCCATACGCACAGCCAAGGTCTCAAGTCATTCAGACAAGCCACCGTACTTTTGGCTAGTCCCGGCATCCAGAAAGCGGCGTCGCCAAGCTAAGGGATCCTCAGCTAGTGAGTTAGTGCGCAGAGGGCATGCGTCCCCAGGTGGTTTAGCTGCGAAACGCACTTTCATCATGCCCCATCAGCATCATCATCATCATCATCGTCACCACTATTATTCATCTCCTGTACCCGGTATCCGTAGCGTAAGATTGCCAGCGCCCTCGCCGACACCAATCTTCAGACGCTGCAGTCAAAGGCCTCGGAGAAGCAACCGCCATCTGCCACCTCATCTGCCACCTGTCAGCTCATATGATGGCCAGTTACCTTTGTATACTAGATGCTCGGTGGTTGCTCCCCGCACGTTCTGCTGTCCAATTCATGTTCGAATGTCCATAGGAATACATACCTACGTAGTAGATGTCGACTGCGATAGAAGGAGGGGGGAGGCAGGCCGCAGGTCGCAGGCAGGCATGTAGGTACGTACTCCGTACCGCAGAAAGAATTGGAAGCCAACAGTACGCAGTTACGTACCGAGAGACACTCTTCCAGTCTTCCTCCTTCGGACGAATACAGCCAGGATGCTTTTAGCAGTAAGGAAAGTTCCTAGGAAGGCACGAGATGTATATCCCTGCAAAGCGAGCACAGAAGTCTGAACCTCACCCTTACCTTTTTACCTCACCCCCTGATCCGGACACAGGTAGCCCTGTGGGAGACAGAGGAGTCGCACATGGACGATTCTTACCCGTCTTCTATCCACTTTGGGAGGATAATTCCAGTCTCCAAACTTTTGCGACAGGGATGTCGATACGTACCGACGTCTACACCGTGTCCCTGGGACTGCAGCCTTCTTTCACACCCACCTTCACAGGGCGCGTCCTCCCATCTTCCACGGCCGCAGTCACCTATCAACTCACATACCTCGAAGACGAGGGACGACGACGACTCACTGACGACGACGATACAACTGTCGACTACGTCTGTACCTCGGAGGATACGTACCTCCTGGTCTCCGCTCCTTCTTCTCCTGAGTCCATACTCCTCACAGGCTCACACCTCTTGTTCATCTTTCTATCTGTAATTGGATATTTGTAAAGGAAAGGAAAGAAAAGAAAGAGAATTGGTTGATTACGGAGACGGGGAAAGTCAGAGGAGGGACTGAGAGGGCAAATTCTGCCAAAGAAGGAAGAAAGAAAAAAAAAACGCGCTGCCCCCTTCCCCTCCTGTTGCTTGATCGGCTCGTCTTCTGAAGTTTTGGGTGTGTGTTTTCCATGACCATATTGTGCCAATTCACCAATCACTGCTCGCACTCCCCCGGACTCGGTCGTCTGCCCAGTTACATTTCGGAGCAGTCTCATCGTCAATTCCCCATTTCCTAGGCATCCCAATAATTGCTGCCCCGACTGCTCAATCTGCTCCCTGATACTTCCGCACACCGTAGATATCTCATTCCTTATACGTAGACAAGATACAGAGGAAGGTAGCCCCTCTGCTCTGGCCTCTAGGTTGTGGTGTAAGCATTGCCAATTGGGCAGGGCATCAGCAACAACCTTGGAAAAGGCAACCACAACCACAACCACAACCACAACTTGGACCTGGAGGCTGGAGGCTGGAGAGTCTGGAGGTGTGTCTGTCTCCCGGGATTTCACCCTTCCACCTCACTCACTCACTCACACTCATCCATCATTTTCACTCACCCCTTCACTTCAGTCTTCACCCCCTTCACAGTTCACCCTTCATCCTTCCACTCTCCAACGCATCCTTGCCCACCGCACCGCACACTCACAGGCCCGTCGACGCGTCTCCACCTGCTGCAAATCAGCCCTCGCGCTGACCCGTCACTCAGGCGCTCCATTATTTCCTCTCCTCTTCCTCAAGCTTACCCCATTCTTCCTATCCCTCTTCCGTCGCAAGTATTAAATTCGTCTTCCTCCCGGGAACGGCGCTAAGATCGAACTCCCCTCGTCATAAACCTTCATTGGGTTTACCCCCTTACCCCCTTCCTTAGCTTCGCCTTCCCCCTTCACATTTCCCACACACTGGTGCTTCACCGAGCTGAGCGAGAAGGAGAAAGAGAGAAAGAAAGAAAGACCAGACGCGCCAGAAGAATCGAAGAGAGAGAAGAGAGAGAGACTCACTCGACAACAACAAAAAAATTTACCCCATCTTCATCTCGCTCTTCTTTCATCTCACTACACACAACAACCACACACACACACACGCTCCGCCCGCGCTACTTTTCTTTCCTCTTACTAGCACCACGGGGAAACCGCACTACGCAAGACACACGCACACACGCACGCACGCTCTTTGCTTCCAGCATTCGGCAGCGGCAGCGGCAGCACGAGCACGTACCTCACTCGTCGACGTCGTCAAGTCGAGTAAAGTCGGAAAAGACCAGAGGAAGGAGCATCCACCCTCCGCCACTACTCGTGCCCACCAGCCCACCCACCCACCCACCTTGCCTTCCAGTATCCGTACACTACGTACCTACTTTCGTACCAAGGCCAAGGTCAAGGTCAACCACGCCCCCCTACCGCACGAGCATCGAAGCATCAGCACCCACTACCCAACTGGCTACCGTACATACAGTCTACGGAGTATTCCTACCTACCTACACCTCTATCACCCGACACGACACTAGGTACCTTACCTCGTTCGCCCAGCCTGTCGAAAGCTGTGCTGGCTGTACCAGATTCTTCTCGCTCTCTGCTGCGTGTGAGTGAGCACTGCTCCTGCACCAACCAACGCATCACCCAACTCATCACCACCCTCCGCACTGCAGCACGGCGCTCAGTCGCTTCTTCTGCGTTGCAGCACCTGCATCCCACAGTCTCCTGCATCCCGCAAGCCAGATCAGACAAGAGTCAGTTGCTTTCTCGGGACTCCCATCTGCCATCTCGTCAAGTCAGGTCCCGACCTCTACACCAGGCCAAATCCAGACACACGCCAACCCCGATCAAAGAAGAGGCACACCCTACGCTATACGCAAAGAGGAACCCTTCGACATCCCATCCTTCTCGCCAACCCCACTCAACCTCTAGTCTCCCTCTCCTCGGTGTACGAAGTACCTACTCTCTCATACGCCTACGGCACTGTTCGCCGCCTTTGGTCCAGGTTCCATACACACACCCAGCTCGTGGGCCTTCCCACCCCTGCCCTATCTCCGATCCAGACGCTAAGGACTCGCTCGGCCTGAACTCAAGCGGAGAGCCCAGCCCATCCATTACTACTTAGCGCACTATTTTAGTGTCGCTCTCCCCAGGCAATACCGTCAACCTCTTTCTCAGCCAAAGCGAGTAAGAGCCAGAGGGAAGAAAAAAAAAAAGAGGCGTCCTTTCCGTGATCTGGCAAAGACAACGCTATCCTTGCCACTTTGAGAGATCCTCGCTCAGGGCCGTGGCTAGCGACTTTGTTGTCATCACATCCCCATTTAACCATAAACCCGAGCCCTTGGGTGGCCCGCGCTATCTTGGCCGCCATCTTTATACACCATCGTCGCGCCGCCTCAAGTCTCACTTCGCTCCCGGCATCAGTCGTCTACTACTACTACTTCTTCCATTATCCTTCTTTTCATTCTTCAAGTGCAAGCTCAACCCGCTACCGCTACTTGAAAGACCGCTTCCTGAGCCATCCCATCGACCGCTCTTGCATCCGGAAAGAAAAGAAAAGGAACAGCCTACCACGAACCTGCGAACCATCTACCCGTTGGCTTGAGAACTAAGGACTCTCCGGCCAATCTTTGCGACCCAAGACGTTCCTCTGAACTGTAGCATGTTCTTGGTCCCAACGCAACACCAGTTCGTTGACAACCACGCATCACTGCTCTCTTCAGGCTCGCCACAGCTTGGAGGTTCTCGCCCAGAAGCCGCTGCCATCAGCTCGCTCCTGACCTCGCTCAGCACCTCTATGGAACGCAGTGCTACCGAGTACTCGCAGTCAGGTTTGCCTTCGCCTTACCCAAGCAACTGCGGCGACACCCGTTCTGAAGGTTCATCTGCAGATCACGCATCTGCTGCGCAATACGCGACCCAACAAGAGGTTCGCCCCAGCAACTACTCTACCTCAGCGACGCCCACCTCCGAGTACAGCGTCTACCCGCCTTCTGCGCGGTCAGGATCCTTCCCTGAACACATTCAGCGATCATACCATCCTGCTAGCAACCACAACGGTGGCAGCGGAGGCATGGCGCAACAAGCAAGCAGTCCGTCTTTGCCCCAGCAAGATGGCCGTAACCATCAGGTCCCTCTGGCCAAGTCTGACCACGATGTACCCATAGATCCGTCGATAGCGGCGCCGAGTCCTACTTACGCGTACGGACAACACTCTCCCTACGGTCCTCCCCCGGGAGACATGTCGCACTCCTACCAGCATCCCGCCTACCAACCCCGTCCCGATTGGACCGGCTACGGCCAACACAGCGCCGGTCCCCTGACTCCCGCAAGTCACGTCTTCCCTCCGACACCGAGCTCTGCCCCTCCCCAGGGACGACCCAGCCAGGTAAGTGAAGCTAGCAGGCGATGAATTTCAGGTGTGCCAGCACGTCGAGAGGAAGAGTTTGCGCTCCTCAGAGGACTCTTTTTACGGCAACTCATCCGAGCAGTGCTTTGCGCTGCAGAATCCGTGAGGCAACCGTCCAAAGAGGGGGGGCTTCACAACTAACCAGGCAGCACGGCCGTTAGTGCAGGGTCGAAGGCTGGCACACGCGCGTATTCTCGTCCAACGGAGGAACCAGTGTACTGACGTAACAGTTTGGCAACCAGGTATACTCTTTCGTTCCGATCCCCGGTGCCCAGCAGCATAAGCGACCCCGTCGACGATATGAGGAGATTGAGCGCATGTACAAGTGTGGTTGGAATGGCTGCGAGAAGGCTTACGGCACATTGAACCATCTCAACGCACATGTCACAATGCAGTCTCATGGACAGAAGAGAACACCCGAAGGTACGTGTTGCAGCACAATTTGGATCCCGAGTCGTTGGTTGCGGACTTTGTCAAAATCGCGTTCGCGTTTGCGCTGCCAAGCGGTACGCGGGACTAGCGTCGTACATCCCGCAGTTTAGCGAGCCGTGATTCTTAGCTTGTTTGATCCAGTGCCATGCACATGGCCTAGTGTCCGCGACAAACCTATGAGACCCGCGCCAAGGCACCTTTGTCGCAATGCACGGAGGCTAACATTTTGGGCAACAGAGTTCAAGGAAATCCGCAAGGAATGGAAGCAACGCAAGAAGGAGGAGGAGGCAGCTCGCAAGGCCGAGGACGAACGTCAGCGTCAAGCTGCAGCCGCTGCTCAGGCCGCTGCCCAGAACGGTTCAGGTGATCCTCAGTCCGCACCTGACGGCTCATCGTCAGCATCTGCATACGCGCCCGGTCGTCAGGTCCAGTTGCCGCCCATCGGATACCAGCCTTCGCAGTACCCTGCGCCCCCGTCCGCTGGAGGTGTCGCGCAGCAGCCTCTTCCCGAGTACAATGGCTCCCACATGTACTCGGCCAACTACCAACCTCAGTCTCCTTACGGCCAGCCGAACCAGAGCATGTACAACTCACGTGAGTTTCAAATCGTCTGCACGAATGACCTCGGCGAACTAACTGTACAGGCAGATAACGGTGCTCAGGCCTCAAGCCACTGAGGACGGCTGATCCGCCAACGAAAAGGACCCAACCGTAATGATGAAAGAGGAGATGAACTTGTACATTATCGGGTTCCCTTTCGCACGACTACAGCCGCACATCCGTAAATGTCTATACTACGAACTTTCAACTTCGTTTCCTTCGGCTACTAGATGCGCGGCAAAATTCTGGTTTACGAAGCGATATCCGCCAACTGATGGCTTTGGGATTTTCACGTTTCGATCGAGTACACGCACAGCATGGTTTCGATGCGTTACCACCATTTTCACTGGCGCCTCAGGCACACCCGTCTGAGGCTTGATCATTCACATCGCGATGCGATGCTGATGTTTCTTCCTCGGTTTTCTTTTCTCCACATAAGATGATGCATTGGGCAACGGCTTTTTCCTTGGACCGGTGTGGTTTCTGCATTTTTGAGGACGGTTGAGGGGGGCCATGATTTGACGAAACGGGTGGAGGTTCGCTTTGGTTGGCCATCTATGGCCTCATCTGAAGAGGGGTTCTCGACATAGGCGCAAGCCGGCTTCGATTTGAACAATGTCATGGGCTCGACCCCGATCTCACACAGCAGATTCACCCTTGAGCTATTGAGGATAAAGATGCTCTGTGATGATTGAGAAAAGGACGACCGACATGCACGCCTGGGAGTTGAGCACAATCGAGGCCATGACTCCACCCTTTGCAGATGTCACCTTTTTTCCTTTTCAGACTTGGGTCCCTCGAGGGAGCTGCTCTTCTCGGACGGCGATAAGGATTTTCGGAAAACGGGGACTTTTTTTCTCGGTAGAGGGCGAAAGCACGGGATTGGCAAGGACGGACCTTTGGAGTGGCCGAGATACCTATACATACACGGACGTTCAGGGCGTCGACAGAATGCGTTTGATAGTTAATTTGCTTTTTCGCGGTGGAAAAGGAAATGTAAAAGATTCTTGAGAAAAATACACCTCTTTCACAGCAATTACATGACAATTTGACCTGTGATGCGACTCACAACTGAGCACAACTAAGCTTTGAATGGTGATGAATCAAAGAAACCTACATTGACAAAATCAAGTACTCGAAATTGGACGAACACCGTGTGCAGTGAGGCTGAAAGCTGAAAAAAAGCTGAAAGCCAAACTGATTGATGCAAAACTGGCATTTTTTAGGAACAAGGATATATCAATGTTGAACTGTGTGACGACGCAGATGGCAAAGTGTGGGAGTAATGGATGGTAGCACCATTTCCGTTGCAAGCTTAGTCCTTTTTCTTCTTCATCAAGCCGCATTGCACTTCTTACATGCATGGGGGACAAGGATTTTGCGGGAAGGAGACAAGGGTTCAGTTTAGGATCTTTGTGTCGTTGGTTCGTTCCCATTGTATTGGTGTTGGTGTTGGTGTTGGATTTTTCTCGCCAACGGTGTTTTAGTGTTGGTCGGCTAGCGCTGGTAGGTAAGGCAGGCTGGGCGGAGAGGGGAGCCGAGGGGGAAGGGATGGGAATGGAGGGGAGGGGAGGAGCGGGGGGAGGGGAAGCTAAGCTAGGTTCTGGCTTAGTAGGTTGACTTTTCTTCGGAGAGAAAGGATCTATGTGTAACTGACGCTACGGGAGTCGGTCGGTCGGTCAGTTTGCTCGCGTGTGCATGAGTGTGTGTGTGTGGATGTGGATGTGTGTGTGGGAGGGGTGGTGACATGGGGATGGATGAGTGGCGCTGCTTATTCTTACGTTGATGTAGATGAGGGGTTGTTTGTAGTGGGAGAGAGAGGTGCGGTGCGGATAGCTGCATGCAAGGTAACAGAAGAAAAGGCTGCTGGTTGACGAATGACAATAGGGTTGTTCAAGATACCTTTTGAAATGAGCACCTGGTTAAGTGTAGCTCTCGGGGTGGCATGTTGGTTCTTGCCTTGTAATTCTCAGGGTCTCTCTGATGATCAAGGTGTATGTATCGCAGCAATTAGGCTAAGAAAGAACGCAGGAAGAGCAAAAGGAGAAAGAAAAGAGCAGAAGCCTCCAAGGGTTTTTGAGTTGCGGGACCGGACATATATGTGAAATTCCGGGAGGTTTGTTGATCAATACACTTCCAAGGTTCCCGGTCTTATTTCTTTTGCATCGCAGCTACACCTCAATGTAAGAAAGGCTAAGTCTGAAGAGGAGGGGGGAGGGAGGGAGGGGAAGTAGAGTTTTGGTTATTGACGGGAGATTGACAGGGGCCGCTGCTTCTTTTGAAAAAGCTTGTTCAAACCTTCCTCTCTGCTTCTATCGATGTTTTCCTTTCGAGTTCTGTGCATATGCGGGATTTGGTGGGGCTGAGGAGTGAGAACAGACTCGCCGGTGACGACGGGGCGTTTGTTCCCTCATCCTTTTGAGGTTTCGGGGAGTGGGCTGTCGTGGATGTGTAGGATGGAAGAGAGTCGGTGAGCATGCGTTGGTGTTTGTGTTTAAAATAGGGCCAACGCAGTGCTCCTTTCCCGACGGAATGCCTGGTTGGCTCAGATGCGACTACGAGGGGAAGTGCGAGGGGGCACAACCTTATGGAACCTTGAGGAAGGATCGATGCAGTTGGTGATACTGGTGAGAGGGGTGTATGAGAGGAAGAAGAAACATTCTGTGTTCGTTGAATTTATTTTGGCGGCGGCGACGGTGCGAAATGATTATTGGGCCAATTACTGAAGTCACCTCACTCAATGCATTTATTCGTCGTACACGTACGCTCCGAGCAAACCGACACGCCAAGGGGGCGAGGTGCTGCATCCAAACGGGCGGGTTTCTAGTTTTTCGTTGCTTAAATTCTGGGTTGTACTCCGAGTACACAAACAAATAAGCAAACAAACAAAAACCACCTTTGCGGTTTTAAACAGGACGGCACAGCGGACCCGGACCCCTCTTTCCCTTTTTTCTCTCAGTCCCGTTGTCGACGGTTGTATTGGGGGCGGCGCCAAACCCGCGAGACCCTGCATACAGGCTTTTTTATTGAGTTTGCTTTCCTTTGGCGCCGAAGCGGTTGTGGAGTTTTTATGGTTTGGAAAATGGAAAACCCGAATGAATGGAACGGCGGGGTGGGAATGGGAATTCGGGGGCAGGGCACAGGGTTAAAGATGTAAGGTAGGTGCAGGAGAGAGAATGCTTCTTTTTTTCTTCTTTCCGCATTTAATCCTTGGTGTCGATGATACTAGCGTTCATGTTAGTTTATTGCGTTTAAACTACATCCCGTAGTCTCCTTTTTCTTAATGTAAGGTACACGTGTCAAGCACCCGTCTTGTTTTGTGTTTTTTGGCCCCCAACTGTAACGTGAAGGGACCGTGGGATGCATGGGAGAAAAAGGTCGGGGGCGCCGGAGTGGATTCTTTTACGGATATCGTGGACGGGTTGGTCGTGGTGGTCGTGGTGGTGGTGGGGTTTTTCTCTCTGGTGGTTTGTTTTCTTGGGATGCGGGTTTTCCGAGTTCCGGAGTGAAAGTGTGGAGATGGAGGGGATTACGGATGTCGCTACGGGGCGGGGCGGGAAGGCAAGAGACGGGAGAAGAAGACGTTGGTTGCTTTACGGAACCGAACGGCGGGTGGTGCTCCACCGTGTGGACGGTGGGCACTTTTGGGTTGTTTGTCGGTTTACCTACCTACCTATCCGTACATGTACCCGTATCGATGCCGCTGTTCGTCCGCCGTACCTTACCCCAAATTCTGGGACGGTTTGACGGGATGGCAGTCTTGTTTTGGCATCCATGGCATGGCGGGAGCTAGAGACGGGTAGGACTATTTCTCTCAAGTTGCGACCGAGACGTTTCCCGTTGGCTTGCTTCCTCGCCCCACCACCACGGTCAATCATTGAGGTACCTTTGGTGCTCGCCTAAGGTAAGACGATCGATTAGTGAAAATCTTGCAATGCTGCTTCAGAGCTCGCTTATCGCTGTTGTGATTGCGAGTCACTTAAGTTTCCTAAAGCTTCGAAAAGACAGTCCATCTTACTTACTCCCATTACCTCAAGCTCATTACCAAGGTGTTCCAACAGTTGAGACCTACGGATAATGGAATCAACAGTGCTAAGCCTCCAAGTTGACGGCCCTGGCGGTCCGGTAGCAGTGTCGTTCCGCGTCTCCCACCTTCCACCACCACTACCCCAGCTGAGATGGGTAATCTTAGCAGAGGTTACGCATGACGTAGTCTGCAGTCCTCAAACCTGGAACATGTACTGATACGGCGGGCATACGGCAGCAGCGTACGAGTAGCTAAAGTATCGCCTACAGCCTACCCAACACCCTCTCGCCCCTTCCTTCCTTTTGTTTTCGCCGGGTTGCCGCATTGTCTCGAACGGAAACGAAGCTAGATGAGGGGAAGGTCCAGACCCGTCTGTGGTTGTTGGACATTTGCTGTCTACCTCATCGCTGTCTGAGGGAAGGAATCCCCCGGGTGAGATGGAGGGGGAAGGAAGGGGGGGAGATCAAGATGGATAAGCATGGGAGGGAAGGAGTAAGGACCAAGGTAGGCCGCACCAGAAGTTGATAAATCTTGGTTGCTGCCTCGGCAGGGTCGCATTCCTCGATCTTTCTGTTTCTTTCCATTACTCTTGGGACTTCTTTTTGTTCCTCCCAAGTCTCGCAATCCGGACGCGTCAGGGCTTGCTTTGCTGCCCCGCGTGCCCTCCGTCGCGTTTTTTTTGGCTGGAACAACCTCAAACTTATCTTACCTCACCTCCTTGTCCTTGAACTGCTACAGACGACCTGCTCGACTTTGCTCACCTGCACCTTGTTTTTCCAACCCCTTCGACGTCTAACTACGGATACCTACTTTCCTCCAGAAATTTCCTCCAGAAAGTGTGTTTTCATAGGCTGGGTTTCCCCAACGGCCATTTCAGGCAGCCTCGACCTGCTTTATCGTCACTCGTTCTTCCCTCGTCTTTTTTACCGCCTACTCTTCTTCCGTGCTCCATTCCATCGTCAGAACAAATATAAAATTTCCTCGCAGGGCAAATTTTAAATTTTTTTTTAACGACGCCTTGCTCTTGCTCGAGAATCGTCAGCAACACGTCGTTTTCGTAACAACCATCCAGTCATACCATTCGCTGAATACCCATCAGAATTAGGCCGCATTCTCTCCGCGCCTCGACCTATCCGACGATTCTTAATCCAGGTTCGGACGGTAGTGGGGACCACTCCCACCATCTGCAAAAAAATGACCGCCGGCGCCTCCATCGACGCCCCTCTCCGGCCCGCCCTTTTCAAAAACTCGGGCCTGCCAAAGTCCGACTCTTCCGTCTCCACTAGAGCTCCATCCTGCAAATCCATCCGCGTCACCGGCGCCCATCCTCTCGGCTCTTTGCACGTACACCAGCCTGTCGACTCCTCCCTGTCGCAACAAGTCACCATGGACCCCAACACCGTCCCCGACGACGATGAGCCCCCGCCTCTGGCACCCATCGAGTTTCTCGATGTCGCCGCCAGCGCGAACCAGCAGGCCTCTCCTCAGCATGAGCACCAACTTGGAGGAGGAGATGTTGTCCTCGTCATGGACTTGCCTGCTCACTTCACCGTAGGCTACGATTCTATCTCCTTCACCGCCCGCGAGTTTGTCGGCGTCAGAGACATTCCTCTCGGTCCGCACTTCTTCTGGGTCTCGGAGACGGAGGCCAGCACTACGCGCTCCGGTTTTTGGATCATCAGCACGGCCGTCGAAAAGATCCACGTTATGCAGTGGGACAAGTTCAACGAGGTCATCGGCGAGCCCGCCAGCCAGGTCGAAGCCCGTTTCCAAAAGGATAATATCCAAGACATCTACCCCAAGTTGGCTCCCTACCAGATCCGCGCTCTCAATGCCACCGTCAAATCGGCTACATCCGGTTCTTCCAGTCCCGAACCCGAGTTCGCAAGAAACACCAACATTTGGCAGCAGCTGACCAACGCCATCACCGCGCCTCTCTTGAGCAGAATTACCGCCCGCCAGGCCAGTGACTGGGCTGTGCATACCTCGGACCGCGTGAGGGGGGCGCTTATGCTTCCCGCTGAGCTCGAGCTTGAAAAGAGAATGCCCAGTGTTGTCGCGAGCACAGAGTTGAACTTTACCTTTAGCCAGGGCGCCAAAACATACGATGCAGAAAGTGTCGGCGCTCAACGTACTGAGCAGGCAGTTGATGCGACTGCTCACTTGCTTTCCAGCGGTGTCACCGACGATGCCGTTGTCGGTGAGCTCCAGTTTGCCTTCATTGTCGGTATGCATCTTGGCAACGAGGCGTGTATCCAGCAGTGGTGGCACATGCTGGTCTCCATCATCTTGAAGAGCTACACACTGCCTCTCAAGCGCCCAGAGCTGGCCCGCTCGCTCTTGCAGACTATCACGGCTCAGCTTGTCTATAACGAACGCTACCTCGATGGGTCTGTTCTCGACTACGGTCCTTCGTATGCCCGTGACCTACGCATGGCCCTCATTGTCTACAAGCGACGACTCAACGAAGTGCTCCTCGGTCTCAATTCGCTTGCCACTCCTGAGCAGGCTGCCGTCGGTCAGGCCTTCTCTGAACTCGAGACGTGGGTTTGGAAGTTTGGCTGGGATATCAGGAGCGACTACCTCAGAAAGGGTAAGACCATGCTAGAGGACGGCGAAGAGGTCGAGCTTGAGATGGACGACCTTGAAGCTGAAGATGAACGTGGCGAGTTCGCTGCTGTGGTTGTTGAACTGGATGAGAGCGGAAAGCAGAAAGACCTTGTCTCATGGGATTAGGGTTCCGGGGTCAGGCGCTGGTTGGAAGCAAAGGAGAAGCGTCGTCGGCACTCACAGTCATGTGCCAGCAGCAGCAACGGCACCAAGGGAATCAGCGCCATGGGCGCAAGCACCACCGATACGAGCACCATTGGCACAGCTACCCTTGGTAACCCGCTTCTGTCTCCGGTTCGGCCTGTGGGCGTGAGGCCTTGGCGTTTCTCATCTCGAAGAACCTCAATCATTGATATGGTTCGACCAAAGTCTCGTAACTCGAGCATGGTGCATGTTGACTTTTGAGTATGGGAATCAAAGTATGGATGGGCATCGTCATTCGGCATCATTCAGCGGGGTGTTCTCAGGTGTTGGCTTCTTCTTGGCTTTTCTTATTTCGGGGGGGCATTGAGCATCGATCGTTTGGGGCCTGGCATTGTTTGACTTTTAATCATCTTCCTTTTCCGACTCTGGCTTGTGCAAGGATTATGAGGATGGCTTAGGTCTGCGTCTGTGGTATAGGCTGGCGCGTGAGGAGGAGGATTATGGGTGATATGACACTCATGGCTTGGTGATTTTGATAAGCCGTACTTTGTATGACTGTATGTCCAGCTAGGAATCATCCCTTTTGCTACATGATGTCTTCACTCTGGATCGTGAAATGGAATCTGACGTGGTTGAACATGGGGATGTAAGCCCTTTGTCTGTAAAGACATTGAATGCCGACAAGAGTCTCGTGTTCAAGCCACTTGTAAGAGACCCTGTTGCCCTTATGACTTTGAATGGTTTAGCTGCCCTTCCATGTCACACGCACACACACACACGCTCTCTCTCTCTCTCTCTCTCTCTCTCTCTCTCTCTCTCTCTCTCTCTCTCTCTCTTACACACACACACAACCTGCAATTCACGTATGCAACGGCCTCTGTCCCATCCCCGGCTCATTCGCCTTGGTTTTCCGCTTGATCGGGACTTATGTCAGTCAGTACAAGGTGAGAGACATCAAAACAGTCATGTAATATGAGTAACAAATGAACTTTTCACGCATCTTGAGGTTTAAAATCCACGGATGTAAATCCAAGGTTTCGAGGAGGACGGTATTTAGGTAAAGAACTTGTATTGCGACCAAGATACGATTTCCACCCCCCATTTCCATAAGAATATGAAGTTGAACGAACGAGTCAAAAAGGATCCAAAATGTCAGAAACCCTCCATGACTCTCTTCCTCCTCCTCCTCCTCCTCCTCCTCCTCCTCCTCATTTTAATCAGACTGAGGCCCTCCAGCTTATATACAACACTCCCCATAGAATTAAACAGAACAACCGTTACACACAAAAGAAAAGGCGCCTGGATGAGTTGGGGGAAGGGGGGGAGGAGGAGGACGTAGAGAGATTTTGCAGTGGTGGACAGCGCCTTAGCAGGGCTAAAAAACACACTGCCGATGAGACTTCCATCATCCAAGGGGAGTAAAGCCCGGAGAGTGTGAACACGTTAGAAGCATACATAACACGATCGGGGCGGTACGTTCAAGCAGACTGACGAGACAATCATACACTTCTTTTGGTATCTATCACAATACATTTGAACCCCGGTTCCCGGCGCTCCCTTCTGGTCAAATTACCGCTTCCATCATCCCCTTCCAAACAAGTTTCACAGGCGCGTTATGTCGAGTCTTTGGAGGGCGGACTATTTCCCATAATGACGACGGTGTAGAGGAGGTCAAGTGTACCAACCAACCCCAAGAGTTTGGGTCGAACACTTAGAGAGAATGGGATCGGTGGTTTGGTACCAATGAGGCGGCCCAACCTCCAGGACTCGGCTTGCAGTGATGCGGGAACTTATGCTTTAGCGTCATGGGAGAAGAACAAAAAAGAGCAAAATGGAAAGGCTATCACGCACGCACGACGTCCAGTAGAAGGCATGGATGGGTATGTTCAACTTGTCTTTTCATGAGATGATCTTCCTATTACTACTTGAGCAGTAAGCCGCCCTCGACAGAGCCATGTCTGATATACACAGTCATCTAATGCCTTTACGACCTGTCGAGCTTTCGACTTGAGCCATCCATTCTTGCTCATGGAAGAGCATCAAAAGTGACTGGGACCCCACGAGGATCTCTATTGCAGTCCGCGACACCAATCATCGTGTCGTCTCCGTTCCGTCTTAACTTTTTGTTCAACCTGATCCACGTTTGACCATGCCTGAAGAGATATCGCACACAAGCCCCAAACCGTTATGGGCGAATAAAAGAAAAACACTCAAGGAAAATGAAAACAGCCGTGGAGGAATACCAGACTGAAGGAGACACAGATACGTGTCCCGGGTACCTCGAGTCTAAAACCCCCGTCTACGTGAACGCCGATTTTGCATGAGAATTGCGCAAGTTGCCGCCGCATGATGAGTCACCTCGCCTTTGGTATGGTCCGGTTGGCAAGGTTCTTACCAACGACGAGCGCCTCCTAGAGGAGCGTTGTTAGCGTTGTCTGTAAAGAAAGTCCGGTCAGCGATTAGGCCACTAGACTTTGGGAGAAGGGAAAACACGTACTACCGCCACCGCCGCCACGGCCACCACCACGGCCACGGCCCCAGCCGCCGTAGCGACCACCACCGCCGCCGCCACCGTAGCGGGTCATCTCAGCGAGACGGGGATCAATCTCCTGCTTGGCCTCTCTGAGGACGTTGACAAGGTCACGAGCCTGCTTGGAGTCTGCAAGAAAGTTAGCGCTTTGATCAAAAAGGAAAGGTAAGAGGAAAAACTGACTGTCAGTGGTGAAGAAGGTAACGGCGGTACCCTTGGCACCAGCACGACCGGTACGACCAATACGGTGGATGTAGTCCTCCGAGTTGTTGGGGTAGTCGTAGTTCAGCACGTGAGTAATATTGCGAACATCTTGAGCAAGGGGTTAGCAGACGCCTCACGGTTTGTATAGCAACGTTCCAGCCGGGAACCACGTTTGTTTGATAAATATATCAGGCTGTTTTCACTCCGTCGAAGACAGGGCAGTCCATATGCGTCAAATGCCATCCTGGAAAGTTCAATGTACCGGGTCCTCGGGCTTGGGGAATCTTGGGGACAGCTTGAGCGAATCAAGGAATGCCACATCCACGCTTGTACCATAAGCAAATGGGAGGCACAAGAGTGGAACAGCGAGCATAGCGAGCCAACGGCTGCACACCAGACCAAGACTCCACACAGGAGCAGAGAGAACCAAGGAAACACGAATGCATCAGGCAAGAGTGCGCAAGTAAGAGAGCCCCTAGACATAAGAGTAAAGTACAGCACAAGGCTGCTGGAAGTTGCCATGTAGGTTGGGGGGGAATGATACTCACCAATACCACGCGAAGCGACGTCGGTCGCGACCATGATGGGAGACTTGGCAGTCTTGAACTGGTCGAGGACCCAGTCACGCTCGTTCTGCTGCTTGTCACCGTGGATGGCTGCGAAAATGTTAGCCAGGGTGCAGAGGATGAGGAAAAGAATGGGACAACATACACAGCGCGGGCCATCCGTCCTGGCGAAGGAAACGGGTGATCTCGTCAGCGACACGCTTGGTGCCGACGAAGATGAGAACCTTGTTCTCCTTGTTGTCCATCATCTTCTCGAGGTGCTTGATCATGCGGTCACGCTTCTCGCTCTCGTTGACAACCTCAACAATCTGGGTAATGCGGTGGTTGGCAGCCAGGTCCATGGAACCGATGTTGACCTGGATGAAGTCGGAAAGGAAGTCGGACGCAAGAGCGCGAACCTCCTTGGGCCAAGTGGCGGACCACATGAGAGTCTGACGGTCAGGGCGAATCTGGCCAATAATCTTGCGAATTTGGGGCTCGAAACCCATGTCCAACATGCGATCAGCCTCGTCAAGAACAAGGTAGGTGACGCGACGCAGGTTGGTCTTGCCGGCCTCGAGCATGTCGATGAGACGTCCGGGGGTGGCAATGCAGACCTCGACACCGCGGGAGAGATCGCGGATCTGGGGGCCCTTGGGAACACCACCGTAAACGCAGGTGTTGCGGATGCGGGAAGACTTGCCGAACTTGGAAATCTCCTGCTGAATCTGGACCGCGAGCTCACGGGTAGGGGCGAGGATCAGGACAATGGGGCCATCGCCGGGGGCCAACAGAGGCTGGGCGTTGATGTGGACGATGGCGGGAAGGCAGTAGGTAAGCGTCTTTCCGGAACCAGTCTCGGCAATACCGACGACATCGCGACCGGAGAGAGCCATAGGCCAACCCTGGGACTGAATGGCAGTAGGAGCGGGGAAGCCCTGAGCCTTGACCTCATCCATGACATATCTGGGGAAACCAGCCTCGTCGAAGGTCTCGACGGGCTTGGGGACATCGCTGCCAGCAATGGCAATCTGGTGCTTGCGACGGAAGGACTCGACATCCTCTGGGCTGCGGTTGGCGACCTCCTCGTGCTCCTTGTAGAAAGACTTCTCAAACTTGGGCATCGTGGAAAGATCTGTGCAACTAAGTTAGCAAACGCGTTTCTTGTGTATACTGTCGTGAATCAACTGACCCCATTCTTGTGTGCGAAGACCAGCGCCAAGGTTGTTCATGCGGTCACCGCCACCGCCGAAACCACCACCGCCGCCGTAGCCGCCACCACCACCGTATCCGTTGCTGTCACTGACCAGTTAGCGAAAATGTTGACGACAAAATCAAAAGATTGAAAATGCTGAGGTCTGCATTGGTGTCGTGTGAAGACACCGCGCTCCAGGTTCGGAACAAGCATCGTGGCACTAGGAGCGGTGCCGCGCCAAGGCAACAGCCGCCTCGTGAACCCGACCGACGTGTTTGAGAATAGAGTCAAAGAGATGCTTACCCGTTGGAATAGCCACCACCGCCGTAGCCGCCATCGCGACCACCTCTGTCCTGACGATCACGACCACCGCCGTAGCCACCTCCTCCGTAGCCGCCACCGCCGCGACCACCACCGCCGTATCCGCCGCCGTAGGACATATTTGCTAGTTGCGAAGAGCGCGCGAAGTGTTTATTGTCGTGAATGGTTTTCGCTTGCTTGAGCGATGCCAAATATTGGGCAAGAAAGACCGTGGGAAGAGAGAAAGAAGACGCGAAGTGAACTCTTTTTCTGGAGCGAACCGAAAAGAGAACTGATGCGTTGGGGGGAGGGGGATGGAGGATTGTGAGATGGAGGAAGAGAGGGATGCAGATGAAAGAAGGGGGAAGAAAAGAGTAGGAGGGTCAGAGGTTTTGGGGAGCGCGAGGGAAGGCGGTCCCGGGGTGAATTTTTTTTTCTTTGCCTGCCCAAAACTTTTCGGCGACCGCTACCAGAAGGACCCTGCTAAGGCGAAAAAGGTACGTACCGGATGCACGTGGGCCTGTTACTGCCTTTATCAGCTGGATAAGATGGTGGATCTGACTCGCGATAAGGCACCTCTGCCAAATCTGCACACTGCACACTGCTGCAGCAAGGTTCTTGACTCTTTTTTTTTTCTGTTTTTTTTTCTGCCTCTCTCTTACCTTGCTGGTTTGGTTACTATGGTACTTCGGTTTGGACCGGGGGTCTCCAGCTTTTTTCAGACTTTTGCATGCGAATTGCGGAGACCTGGTTTTGAATGATTGGAAATCGTTTGGCCTCGGGTGAGCCTCAGCACAGCCAGTGCAAGGGAACCCTTTGACTGCTGCTTGTTTGGCATCAGTACCAATTGGGACGGCATGCGCACCTACGGCGGGAAGTCAAAGGAAGGAAGGAAACACGGCAAGCTGCATCAGACGACATTGGAAGCTTCTATTCAGCCCGACTAGTAATGCTTGGCTTTCTCTCTTGCCCGTTCTAACATCTAGCTAATTTATACTTGAGGTAAGGTGAGGAAGGAAATATTCTATGCAAGGTAGGAGCAGAAACTTCGTCTACAATCTATGAGGCTGTTTGAGTATCAAGATGGCAGCCATGCGAGGTAGGGGCCACCATCCTTGCCTCCATCTCGCTACACCCGTTTCCATTTTAAGGCCCGTCCTCCATCTATCGTCTTTTGTTGAAAGGCCCTCACTCCATATGCAGAGCCTTTACCGTCTGACGTACAATGATTTTCACCGACAGAATGCCATGACCAGCTTACCAGTGAACATTCCTCGCCGAAACTCACCGGTAGGGAAACATTTCCCAGAAACCAATCTCCATCTAAAACACAGAACACAGTTAGCCCAAGCTTCACCCCGCCCAACAAACATCCAAACCAACCTTTGTGCCGTGAATAAAGATCTTGATCAACCGCTCTATACTCGACGGGCTCTGCAAGGCGGCATGTCTCTCAATCAACTCTGTAATTTACCCCTCGTCAGTCAGCAAAAACAAAATGACCCAGTCAACCATAACAGCCAAAAGAGGAAAATAATCATCTCCACAAACCTGAGCCGGTCCTCACCGCCCCGACATAGTCGTCAGCGACGTAGTTCTCGATCCACTTCCAGTACGTGTTCTCCTCGCGCTTCGTCTTGACGTCGCCGTGGAGCTGCTTCGCCACGGCGCCGTATCCGAGCAGGCACGGCGCGAGGGCCATCTGCAGCGCGATCCAGTCCTCGCTGACGCCCACGTCGAGGACGTAGCGCGTGTACGCCGTGCATGCTGTGTGTACGGTCCTTTGTCAGTCCCGTTGTCATGTCTGCTCCCAGGGGGACCAACATCCACAAGATAGACTTGCCTTGATGTTCCTCTGTGGCCTCAATTTCAGGCACCGTGATGCCAAAGCCCTTGCAATAGTCGATGTGCAGGCTCATCTCACGACTTATGTGGTTGACGATTGTGGCACCCTTGGTGAGTCAATAAGCAACCCTTCCAGAATCACTGGCAACACGTACAGCTGAGATGTCTGCTATGCTCTTCGCCTTGTAAGAAGCCAGCGCATTAGCTCTGGCGAAGTGAACCTAGGATAGACAATGAGCAACCAAGAATTTCCGTCGGCGACCGTAGCACACGTACAAGATAGAGGTAGTCCTGGATGAGATACTGCTTGAACGACTCCATGGGCAGCGTCCCGTCTCCCATGGCCATGACAAAAGGGTGGTACACAAACGTCTTCCAAACATTCTTGACATCCGGCCTCTCAAGCATGTACTCGATGAAGCGCCCCCTATTGACTTAAGTCAACTCGTTGCCTGTACGGGTGGTTTAGAGGAAACTTACGGCGCAAAAGGTAGCGTCTGGATAGAGTGAAAGTGGTTCAGCGGACCATGTCCCTTTCCGTAACCAGGAGCAGTCTTGATCCCAGCCTCAATGTATCGACAAGCCGACTTGACAGCTTCCGGCACACCGAGACCTTTTGCCAAATTAGACGCAATAGCAGCTGCGACACAAATCAGCCTCCATTACACTCAACCACGCACCGAATCTCTCAACTCACAAGCCAAAGAACAGCCAGTCCCATGCGTATTCGTCGAACTCTGATACGGGCTCTCGACATGCCAAAACTCGCCATGCCCATACAGCACATCCACAACAACAGCCTTGTCCTCATCGCTCTTGGCCACAGTCAAGTCCGCCTTGAGCGGCGCGTGTCCGCCCTTGACGAGCACCCACTCGGGCCCTAGCGCCTGGACCGACCTGGCCATCGCCTCGAGGTCCCCGACGCTCTCGATCTCGACCGACGCGTGCCCCGAGTCCTCGAGGATGAGCTTCGCCTCGGGAATGTTTGGCGTGAGGACGGTGGTGAGCTTCAGCAGGCCCTCCAACAACGCGGCGACGGCCTCGCGGGGGAGCAGCTCCGCGCCGCTAGTCGCGATCATGACCTGTAGCAGTTTGTGAGAAACTCTGAATTCTGTCCGAAGCGGGAAACAACATTCATACCGGGTCCACGACAACCTTGGGGACCTTGCACCTCTTGAGAGCTTCAACAACCGTCTCAATCGTAGCAGGCGAGGCCAGCATGCCTGGTTTCGAGTTAGCTGCTTAAAACCCATCGGCCAAGAACATTCTAAAGTGACGCCAATCTCACCAGTCTTGACAACATCCACACCAATGTCGCCAATACAGGCATCAATCTGCTTGAGTAGAAACTCCTGCGGAACATGGTGAATGTCGTGCACTCCAGTCGTGTCCTGCGCCGTCAGCGCCGTGGTGGCCGTCATGGCATAGCAGCCATGCGCCGCGATGACTTTTTGGTCTGCCTCGAGGCCTCTTTGGATTTCCCGGCGTCAGCAAACTGTCTCTGGAATTGATTTACTAGATCTTGTTGCAGTCTGGAGATGAGAAATGTGTGTACTCACGCTCCGCCGGAGCAGTCTGAGCCGGCAATGACGAGAACTCGTCCCTGAACCATGATGGTCAATGTAGGAACGCAAGGGACTAGTTTGAGAGGAATGTCGCCGGTTTCCTATTTGTGTTGGGCAAGAAAGAGTCTTGATATGTAAAAGTAGCAATCAACTCTCCGGAGCTTCTTTCCGTGTAGACGGATCGGACATCATCGGAGGACGGGGGTAGGCACGGCTGACGACGGATCGGTCGCGGGTCGAAGATGTCACTCAAGTGGGGGCGGGGCACCCTTTAGTTTTTGCTCACCTCAATAAAACGTTCGACTTGCAAACTCTTCCTCGTGCTCCCACGCCTTACTGTGACCGCGCCTTACTGGTGGGTAAGTCACGCATCACGTAAAAGACATCGCCAAGGCTGCCATTTTTGTACGCATAACCCTCGCTCGAGGCTCAATACTGGCAAAAAAAAAAAAAAAAAAAAGAAAAAGAAAAAAAGGGAAGAGTGATCTGAGCGGGAGATGAGAAAAACAAGCCACTTTTGATTTGCCTATTTGTGTCGACACCCTCCCTACCTACACCATTTGGGAATCGATACGCAGATGGCCACCAACTCCATCCTGTCCTTGCTCGCTCTTGAAGATCAATCAGTAGCTTCTCTAGGTCCCTTTGCCGGCCAAAACCTCAGCTGGAGACTTTATCCACTCCCCCAAAGTCCCGAGTTATAGTACAAGAAAAGCCAACAAACAAAACGCCTCATCATGATGCCTCTTGGAATCCACTGATAACTTTCCGTTTCAAATGCCAAGCAGTCTCTTGACAGTGAATGAACAGTTGTGCGCAACGGATCACACAACCTTACGCTGTCTCCGTCGAGTCAGCCGAGCTGTCTGTATCAAATGAGCTCATGCTGTCGGATCGCTCCGCCTTTGGCAGGGGCTCCGTCTCCTTCTCTAGCTCCGACGGGTCTGAGATACTTCGCTGTCTCTCTGTTCGGTTTTCGTCCCCCGAGGATGCGTTTTCCTCATCTTGGTCAACATCTTCGTCGTCGGATCCACTATCGCTGTCTTCGTCAAAGACAATCCTTCTGAGAACGTTTTTGTCAAACATCTCGAGAACCATTCGTCTGATAGGCAGGCGGTAGTGATTGTATTCAAGCATCGTCATGACGCGCTTGAACATTTTGGGGCATCTAAAGCCCGCGACCTTGTGCTGCCTGATCTGCATCAGTTCACCCATCGCTCGCTTGTACAGAACCATGTTGCCGAGGTCGACAACGAGATCCAGGATTCGTTGGTTGATGGCCTCTTCGTTAGTGAAAGCCGGCAGCTCTTCCTTCTCCAGAGGCGGACGCGCTTCTGTTGGGGGTGGCGGGGTTAAAAAGGTTTTTTGCGTATCTGGCAACGCAATCTTGGAGGCAATAGCGTGCTTCCAGGGTTTGAACGAGAAGAATTTGGACAGGTTGTTGGGGATGCAGAATCCCATCGACTCTCCTCGTGGTGACAGATTTGCATCCCATCCACATTCTGACAGGATCTCAAGACCGTGGGCGGATCGAGAGACTAGTCCCAAGACGAAGAAGGCGGTACCTCTCAGACTCATCACCTCGTGTTCTTCAGCAATCTTGACAATGTCTTCAATAACATCGCATGATTCGATAAAAGGGGCACCGAGTTCCATGGATCCCACGTTGCCGACAGCCCACATGGAGGCCTTGACCTTTAGCATGAGCTCGGGATCTTCCGACTGCATGCCGTACTCTTTGATCGTGCTGGCAAACTCGGCAAAGTGTCCCTTGTCGCTCAGTAACTTGCATCCCTCTTGGGTGCGTGCAAGCTCCCGATAAAAGTGCGGTGGAATGTGATTTTCTGGCTCGACATCTGCTTGAGCTTCCTCGACCATGTTCATACGGTTCTGGTGCTCTTCTGGATTCTCTAGGAATGCCTTGGCCAGGCTGGTCTCAATCACACCGACATATGAGTCGTTTCGACCGAGGAACCAATCATCCATCTCGTTGCTGATATAGTCAACGCCGTCGAGGTAGTGATAGCCAATGGACGAGGACAGGAACCGCAATAGAAGAGGAGCGCCGATCTCTCCCAAGTGGTCCATTGTCGGACGACACTGGACGACATACTCCAGATATGCCTTCTTATTGCATGCCTTCTCGAGGATCTTAACCGCGGTTCGGCAGACCTCTACCTCGGGGTCGTATAGTTGGTCGCACAGCTTCTCGATGGCCCACTTCCAGTCGATCTTGCCGTGAGAGGGCTGGGATGCATCGAAAGGTCGAGTGGCGTACTTTCGCAGCGCGTTCGTCGCCGTGATGCGAATCTCCCTCGTCCCAGACGTAAGCGCCTGTTCTATAAGCACTCGTGGGTGTCCCGGGATGCTGTAGTCAAAGTTTGATAGAAGCAGTTTAATCAAGTCAGGGCGCTGTTTGTGCCCGAGAATGTGATACATCATGTTGAACATTCTCCAGCGTTGTAGAAGCTCCAAGCCCCTGGGATCACCACTTAGGACTCCAAGCATGGGAAAGTATCCTGCGCAAAGTGTGCTTTGCAGGCGACCAGGAGAGAACATTGGATCCGTGGATGTCAATCCGCTGCTCTGCATTGTTTGTTAGTATCTTGATGAAGCCGCCAATGATATGTTTTCTGCTTACCGGATCACATTGTGCGAGGCACTCAGCTATCTGCCGTAACATCTTATGATCTTGCAAGTACTGAAAGCCCTCATTTGACTGAAGCAGAGTGTGCATCAACGTACATCCAACCCGGACATACTTTTGAGAATTCTTGTTGCTTGTTAGATCCGAAAACCTGTGCTTAAAAGGCCGGTAGAAGCTCATGATCCTGTTCATAAACTTGGACACCCTGTTGACCTCGTCTAGTCGCTTTCCATCTTGAAGCGGCCCTTCGATGATTCGCGAGATGACATCCCAGTTCCACTTCAAGTAGTTGGAGCTGTTCAGGACATTAGACTCCACCAAAAGCTGCCGGATTGCACCCTCTTGAACCACAATCCCGGCGTTGCTTTTACGGTGCATGTCTGCGAGGTTGTCGCTAGAGGGCAGAGTTCCAGCAGTCGCGATAGACGGCGTGCTCCTATACAACGTCTTGCTCACCGAGCTAATCTGATAAACTATGCCCGAGGCAACGAATCTGTTGTCGTCTTTGAACTGAGTCGCCGCAGCGAATAGTTCCGGAAGCAGAGGTAACTCATTGCTCCATGTCGCGGGGAGGAGCCTGCTTGCCAGCTTCAGCACCTCACCAATCAGAAGACACGTCTTTCTGGACAGCTGAGGATCACTGGTCCTGGCCACTTGAAGCAAGTTTTCCAGTAGACCAGCCTTGACAAATGTGGCTAGAAGCAGGGCAGTGTAGTGATCCATAAAGTTTTGCTCCCCACTATCGTCTTCCACGGGCAGAGCATTGGCTGAGGGCGTCTGATTTGGAACTGATTTGAGGCTTGCTACCCTTCCATATGTCGTTAGGCGACGACCAGCTAGGAAGGAAGAAGCCCATGAAGGCGACTTGATCCGGAGAAGAAGGTAAATGAGATCGATGACTGTCTCTCGGATGGTTGCTTGTGGAAGCACCATGCTAGTGAGCAGTGACTTGATGGCTCGAGAGTCATGCATAGTCAGCATCATCAACCCAGGCCAGCTCTTCAGGATCTTGGTGATCGCCTTGGCGTTCTGCTTCAGTAAGCTCTCATTTGCGAGGATGATATCTGTGAAAGCCGTGAAGAGAACCTCCAGATCATAACCGGAGCGCAAGTAGATTCTCTTCTGTGGGTTATCCAAGATCTGCATGTAAGACGCCGTGAGAGATTCGGGCGATTTATATGTTCCTTCAATCAAAGCTTCTGAGAGTGGTGAGAGGCCGCCAGAGGCGACTGCCAGAGCTGGGTCACGAAGCATGACTTCAGCAAGCGTTTCCAGGCAGATGGAGCGTAGACGATCTTCAGCCTGCTCTGCAACAGCAGCTATAGTCCTCACAACAGCACGTGAAAGCTCTTTGACTCCATCCTTGACGTCCAAAAAGGCCCGGACGAACTTCAAGGCCTGTTCACGCTCCAGGTCTGCTTTTCGGTCCTTGATCAAAGATCTACAGTTTGTTAGCTGTGGCTCGCAGTCTTGCCAAACGTACAAACATGGCCAGACTCACGTCACAACAATGATGTCAGTATTCAGACTGCGGATCTTCTTTAAAGAAGACACATCTGAGATGGCATAGCGAATCATTCGGTAACCTGCTGCCACTACTTCTCTGGCCTCACTGAGGAGCATGACTTGCATGCGAAGACCGAATACCGACCATACCAGGTCATACTTGAGAGTTGGATGCCGCCTGAACAGATCAACTAGACTGTTTCCTCGACTGACATAGTACTCTGGCGGCATGCCCTCCTGTTCAAGGGCTTGTAGCAGCTCAGCCAGGAGGAAGGTTGGTGACTGCTCGGCCGTCTCTTCGTTGTCTGAACCAGCGCCACTGCGAGAGGCGCTAGGAGGTGAGCGCATGCCATTGTTGGCAGAAGAGAACAGTGGCTCGTTTGTCCTTTGTCTTGTAGGTGTGGTAGGAGTCGCCTTGAATCTCGAAGCGTCTGTAATCTTCTGCCGTAGATTCTTGATGCGCTGGTTGGACGCATTCAGCTCCGCTTCGACCTTGGCCCTCTGTTCCTTGGTTTGTTTTGCCTTTTTGGCGTTCAAGGCTTCCAGCATGTTCTCACTTCCGTCCTTGATCTTCATCTCTCGATTCAGCTGTTCCTTGAGAATAGCCAGGGTCTGTTCTGCAGCCGTGGCGGGATCTTCCTCGTCGACCTTATCGATGCTGTAGATATCGCCTCGGGAGCCAGAGCGAGATGGCATCATCTGGCTGCGTAGCTCAGAACTAAAGCTCCCAGGGGCGATGGAGGGGTTGAGGGAAGAGCCTCGGGGTCCGAAGCTGACGCCCGAGGCGCCCAGACTTCTCGATCCATTGACGGAGGCGGATGGCGGCTGGAGGCCGCCGGTGCTCTCTATGCGCTCGAAACTCGGACGTGGATTGAGGGTATTGGCGCTCGATGC